CCCCAGGACCCCAGTTTCTGTGGTCAAAAAGCACCTCCGACTCCAAACAAACTTCCGAAATGTCTCCAACCACTCTATTTCTTTATGATTTTTCAATAGAGTCAGTGAACTTTTTCATTAGTCTCTTTCCCAGTCCATACATGATCCCTTATGTTGGAGTAACAGCTGCAAGATTCACTCTGAGAAAACTGTGGGTAAGGGAAGAAAAAGTAACACTGCTAACTAACATCAATTATAAGCATTGTTTTGTGCTGTCTAGCCTTACTTTCTACAGGTATTTGTGCCCTAACCTTATCTTTTACACAGAAAAACAATTAAATCAATTAGGACCAATATGAATTATTATAAAATTTACAAATAGATACACAGGATTTTTGTTTTTGTTTTATTCTCATGCAACAAGGAGACATGTTTTTTTCTTCCTTAGCAAAGAAGAGTCCTATTATGCTTTACTAACTAGACAAGCATCATCTTTTTTAATTAACATATACATTATTTGTATAAAATGATGCTTCTGCATTAAAATAGCTTAATTTCATATATGAAATATATTGAGTCATGGAAAAAGTCATGATGTGTTTTTCTATGCAAAAATGGATCATGACTTTTCTGATGACCCGATAGCTTTCTATACATCAGTTTTAAAATACTTTCCTTTACATTATTATACATGCTATTGATATTAATTCCTATAGAAAAAAATTTAGTATAAGTTAAATTTCAGTCCTGTCTTCTTCCAGATTATTTACAAGTGCAAAATAGCAAGGCCCAAATTAGTGAGATTTTACTGAATAGCAAGAGTTCACATAACCAACCCTCTTTTCTCCTAAATTCCTGTTCTATTTTTTCCACTGCTTTCCCTCTCCTTCCCAATTGTGTTAAAGTATATAAGAGGGTCCTAATTCTGAAAAGCTCTCAGACCTTAAGAGTTTCAAACATGCTATTGTAGAAGCAAAAGGTTTTCGGTCCTACCTCCTCCCCCTACTCCCACCTGTAGAGAGGGAGAGGATGCTCTAAATTTCATCCTTCACACTCCACCCATCATGCAACACCCCCACTAGCTTCTCCCCACTAGAGCCCAAAACCTGAGGGAAGCATGCAACTTGTCCATGCAGCTTGCAATCGTGGGCTCCAGTAAACGTCAATATCTTGGATTGGGCTTTTCTAAGACCCTTCATGCTTCCACTTCCCCAGCCAAAGCCCCACCACCCACCACCCAGTTCAGACTACTGCTGGGCTAGCTGCTTGCGAGTGTGCCCACTGTAAGAAGTTTCAAGGTTCAGATTTACAAAACCCACCACTAGGGGATAATCACTGCCAATGACAAGATTTTTCACATTATGAAAAGATTTGCTCCAGGGTCTCTTTAAATGAAAGTTCCCTTAGTGGTTTGAATTAGTATTTCATTTTCCAAAAATTGAATTACAAATAACTGTTCAACAATATATGTATTATATAAAGCCAAGCAGAGCTAAACTAATTAACCTAGTAGCTCAGAAATTGGCGACCTTGCACATAAAACCTATTTGCACTGGCTGAAGATCCTATGTATCAGTTCCCCTGGGGGCCTTGTGAAACCAGATGTTGGAATATATAGTTAAAGGGTAAGTTCATTGAGCATGAACTCAAATAGGACCAATGAAACAGCAACATGTTTTCACTTTCAGGTACATGTCTCAGTAGACTCATAGTAAGTGTTCAATAAATATTTGAGAAAGAATAAATGAAGAAGTGTTAACCCTTCCTAAAATGATTTATACAAGGCCAGCGGCCTCCCTCTCATATAAAGCATTCACCAGGTGATCTGAGTAGATGAACTCCAGGGTACCATTCAATTCTAATTCTCAGAGACTTTCTGAACCTTTTCTTCAAATTTATTGGCCTTTAAGAGCCTTAGAGTATCAGATCAATGTGCTTTGAAAGGAAGTATTGGAGAAAAAAAATTCCCAAGAAGACTCACTGTATCTTAGGAAGATGAAACAACTCTTCTCTGGCTTTCCAGCACATTCTTTTCCTAAAATCAGTTTAAGAGACTGAGATGCTCATGGCAAATCACTGCATTTTGCAGGAGCCTCAGTTGTTAAATTGGCAGAGTGGTGACAGGAGAATTGTGAGGTATACCTACCATCAAGAAGGCATATTTGGTGGCAGGAGAGAGGAGGGGAATCAGGGAAACAAACAAAACATTTGATAGACACAAAACTGAAAAGTTATCTGTTGATGGTAATGTACATGGTAATGTCTTTGACTTGACTAATATGCACTGTATTCATGTTGGGAAAAACCATGTTGTACACGGTAAAGATGCACAGTGATTAGCTGTAAATAAAAAGAAAAAAGAAGAAGGCATGTTTGACACATACCTTCTGATACAAGGTGTATTTGTAAGACTATTAGATTATAAATACTACTAAACCATTCACAGACCAGCTTCCTCCTTTGAAAGAAAAGTCCATTGAAACAGTAGACCGCTTGCTACTTCTAAAGAAGGCCTGGGAAAAAAATAAAAGTCCTACACCTCTGGATTTACTGCAGGGAAAAAAAATGAAGCAGAGGGCATCCTCGTGAACCTCACCCAATGTGGGTGTGGTGCTGCCTCCTAAGGACAAAGGCATGGTTTGTTGGCATTCAGTGCTAATCCCACCCCACTCAAGTCCTGCTGCTGGCAAAATTACAAGCCTGCTGTTCTGTTAATTAGCAAAGTTGAAATGTTCTGCATCTATTAGGGAAGTAGAAATTACTACCACCATCTCCCCAGGATCCTCCAGCATGGGTCTTCTCCAAGCCCCACTTTGGCTTCTCAGCACTCCAAATGGGTTATGCTTAAGGCTGCTGCCTGTTTCTCTTTACTTTTTCCTAGTCACCATTTCCCACATTGGAAAATGTCCATCATCCTCACTCTGGCTCCCAGTTACCATGTAGCCCCCACATGGCAATGGTAGGACTGGCCCTAGTGCCACAGATGCTATTCATGGGTTTCTATATCTCAGCTATCAGAGAATCTCCCAGGGCAACCGGGTTCCTTGTGCTCCATGCTGACCTCTGGAGAAAGCAATTCTGATTTCAACAAGCGAAGAAACAACCAACCAAGTGAGCATTTATTGAGCTTTTGGGGGGTGTAGCTGCCAGGGCATTCTTGATTTCCTTTGAGTTCTCAGCCACACCCCCTTAATTTGCAGTTACTTAACTTCCACTCTAAGTGTTAACAACCAACCAAGTGAGCATTTATTGAGCTT